AACCTTTTTAAAACAGATATGTCCTACATTATTCAAAAAGCGACAAGAAGAAGAGACAAAAAAGATAGAGATATATTAGACATGCGTGATGACAACGAAATAAATTGGTCACAAGGGGCCTCGAGTTTAAAAAAAAAATTATCTAGGCACCAAACATGGCTGTGGATTGCCTCCATTACAAAAGATGCAACACCCAGAAAAAGCTCCCAACTTCTCCAAATAGCACCACAGATTCTTGGTAATGGCAGATCTTCATGCTGGATTTAGATGCTGCCCCCCAATTCCAGCAAGCACATACACAGAAAAGCTACAAACATAAAGGGAGAGAGAGAGAGAGAGAGAGAGAGAGAGAGAGAGAGAGAACAGGTGGGATCACAGATAAGGCTATATTGCCTCTAGCCCTTGTCATTCTCAAATGAAAATGAAGGAAAGCTCCGGAAATGACAAAAGGGATAAACACATTATCGTCCATCCCGTCGTTATCGCAATTTTCCATCGTGGTATTAGCAAAGATTCTCTGGATCTTCATGGGCAAAGTTGAATTGACCTAATTTCAAGGTTATCCACATTGTAGACTAGGCTCCAACCACTCTGCACGATCAGGATGAGTGAATAATTGCACCCTCACATTGAGTTCTGGATTCTAAATCTCTAAGAATCGATGATGTCAATACAATCAAATTCAAAGAAGAGAGGGGAATCATTTCATGTGATCGCATTGAAAGAGTAATGAAATCACACCTTAATCTTCCATTGAATGTGAGAAAGAACTATATGAATGCATGAGAGACATTGCCCACCATGGTTTTGCTTTCATGGGCTACCGTTCTGGCGCGCGACTAGATTTTTCAGTGGTACGAGTTTAAATGAGAGAAAAGTTATTTATAATAAGGGTATGTTGGTTTGAGCAACATCGCTTTCTGTGAATTAGTTGTCCGAACTTTTACGTGTTTGATTTGCTGAAAATTATTTACAGTTAAAGAAAATATGGCTGCTTAACCTGAAAAACGGTGAAAATATTTTTCATAAAATGATTTTTCGGAAAGCCTTTTCCTTTGTTATGACCTACATGATGCTACAGAGTAAAGAAAATCAAAGTATTAATTCCTATGGAATTAAACTAATCTACTATTAACCCATTTTAGTGAAGGACATTCTATTTGATTACGTCCCTTAATTTGCAATGATTTCAATGCAGACTCCGATGGGATCGAATCGCTTTTCATGCGCTTGGATTTAACTTTTCAAGGCCTGCCTCATGGCATTCGAGTAGAGAGATAAATCGAACAAGTACGGTCGTCCCCTCCACAAGAACGATAATAAGTTTAAAAGTTGAGCATATGAAAAGAGAAAATGGATTTGATTGGGGGAGGGGGGTCTCCCATAATTGTTCCATACAATTGGTGAAATATATATGTGGATGATCCACTCAAAGAAAGAAAGAAAGTAAAAAACCTTTGCATGTATTCCAATCACGCTCACCCGTGATGTTTCACTACATTGATGTATCAGGTGTTAGGCAAAAATCGATTGGGAAGAAGAATTGAATCAGATTTTTAAGCGTTTTAGTACTCTCTTTAAAGAATTTGGCCTCACAACGTTATCAAAAATCCTCCGGGATATAATAAAATCTCGACGGGTATAAACATTGAATATATGAAAATGAAAGTTATTTCTAAACTGATACGGCTTTTGAAAGGTGGTATCTGTTTTACAAACAAATTACTAACGTCAGGTCATATGCTGAGCTCCTCATTTCAATGCAATCCTCCTTAGCATAGTAGAAAAAACGATAATTGTCGTGTTAATTTCTTCAAAACAAAACGTTTAAGTTTGTTTATCCAAGGTGAGAATGGACGTGCTTATTTATCCCTGTCCCCCTCGTGGGTCCAAACAAACCATTGAAAAAAAATGCATTTTATTATGTTTTGTCAGCAACAATTACATTAATTTTGAGTTGGTTCTGCTGACGAGCGGCCAAATAATTCCAAAATTTGTTGTCTCAATTTTCAAATATGCATTTTATTTTCTTTTGTACGCAGCAGATGCATCCATTTGAGTTGGTTGTGCTGATGTGCGGCATTTCGAAATTTGTGATTTACTTTTAGGGTCCGTTTATTTCGTAAAAAATAAATAATTTAAAAAATATTTTTCTAAAAATAATCGTTTGAAATAATTAGTTTGTGATAAATATTTTAATTATGGGCAATTATTTATATCTAAGACATATTTGTTGGAGATGATTATATTCATCCTTTATTCATTTTTGTAAGTAATATAAGCGATCATTTTTAGGAAAATAATTTTCATATCATTCATTTTCTGATAAACAAATACATCATTGACCACTTATTTATGTGACTTCAACTAAATGTTATGAACCTGGGTAATTTTATTACTTTCTCTTAACTAGACACAATGCACATGTGGAGTAAGAAAATTGGATATTACTAAATAAAATGGATGAAGTAATACAAGTCAGGGTGGACACCAAAATTTGAAAGTTTGTTTTTACATATAACTAGCTCTAATTCATGGGCTGCATTTGATAATTCGGATTTGAGTCTTGATAGAATAACAAATATCTTATTCGGATTTTCTGGACCAGATAAACCCGGATATACATGGATAAAATGCCGGATAAGAAATCTGGGCTAGGGGGTGGGATATACCCAGATTGGATAAAAAATAATAAAAAAACATAACAATTTCCTTCCAACGATGGAGTGATAGAGTTCGGCTTCGCTGGCCTCCAGACAAGGATTGCCGCCACAACAACCTATCACTCTCGACCACCGAACATTCGTCATCGCCTCCGACCATCGCCGATCATCATCGTTGTCCAGCCAATTATTAACCAAACCGACTGTCACTGATGAATAACTCGAAATCAATGGATTGTCCCAAAAAGTAGTGTTTGAAAAAGAAGAAGAAAAAAAAAACCAAATTGCACGAAGTTTTGGGCGTTCATATCTTGGTCCTGAACAGTGTCACATGATTTTGCCGTGATGCTTCTCTGATCCCATCCTCTGTTCAGATTTGAGACTCCGTGTTGACAATAAGAATATTTCAAAGGAGAAGGAGGAGGAGCAGCTTCAGCGAAAACGGTGATGGCTCAAAATCGTGCAAGTCTCGGCCGTGCAAGATTTGGAAAGTGTCACGCCCGTAAGCAAGTGAGATTTTCAAAAATTTTGAATCCTATCTTGGATTGAACCAAACATGGGAAAAATATATATTTTTCAAATCGGAGGATATTCGAAAGATTTCTAATTCCACCTTATCTTATCCTATCTCAATCCAAATCAGGGGGCGATCAAACGCATATATGCTTTTTTGGAAACAGTGGATAAGTGGAGCAAAATCTTTTGATTGATTATGATATTTTGAACTAATGGGTAAGTGACACGTATTTCTCTAACCACTTTAATATTTTGGCGGATGATAAGAGTTTGATAGTCTATCGAAATAACAGAAGATACGAAAATCGAGAAAATTTTTATAAGTATGAGGGTTCATATCATATCTTTGATCCGTGATTTACAAGTATCCCCTCTTTGAATAAGGGCGTTGCTTGTTTGGTGCTTAGATCATGCATGATCTCGGGGGTTGTGTGTCAACAGGATAACCACCTACATTCGCTCATCTTCGTTCTTGTTTCACCATGTACTAAAGCCCATGATCTGTACAGGCTCGCATTCAAAAAGATATTGCGATCTTAGGAGCAGTTTCAATAGACACGTAAGTATAAATGTTTTGTTAATTCTCTCTCTTATATTAAAGTAAATGAATAATGCTACAAATACCAAGACTCATCAATTAAAAAAAGAATTAACTATAAAAAAATGAAACAGATAGGCAATATATAAATATAAATTAGCCAACTCTGATTGAGGTAATGTTCAAATTGGGTAAAGAAATGCAGAGAATCAGTTGTTGCCTGATTTTCCGCTTTCGTATGGTGCCAGCCGAACGAATCTCTCACTCTCTCACTCTCTCTTCCCCGCTTGACATGGAGACCAACATGGCAACAAACAAACAAATGCGACAAATGGAGACCAAACAAACGGACGATTGCAACACGATCTCTCTCTCTCTCTCTCTCTCTCTCCCTCGAGTAAATAATGCAGATGAAGACAAATGGGTGGCAAAGGAGTCGGCGATGTATATTGCCAACCTTGGCTTTGTCGTCCCCTGTTTCACCTCGTCTACATCGAGATTTACACACCCAACTCGGCCCCTCTCTCTCTCTCTCTCACTCTCGCTCTCTCTCCCCCCTATGAAAACATCCTCGTTTTGTCTACAATTGGCTCCACTCAGATTTCTGGTTCCTTCCGGGTACCCTCCCTCTCCCTCCCTCCCTCCCTGTTCCTTTCCATTCGCCCATTTGCTTGTGCTCTTGAATTTTCTTCTTCCATCTCTGCTGCTAGTTCCCTTTTTTTCTTGTAGAACAAGTTAAAGCTCGTTCGTTTCGTTTTGTGGCGACAGGTACTGCATGCGTCCGCATGCCGCTGTCTCTGTGTGTGTGTGTGTGTGTGTGTGTTTGTGTTGGTGTCTCTTGTTAACCTTAATTCTTTCCCTTTCTTTTCTGTTTATCCATTCTCTGTTTGTGTGCTTGGGTTGTCAATTCGAAACTAATCTTTGCTTTCGGCTTTGGATCACTGTATAGTCTAGATTATTCACCAACTCTACTGGTTGTTAACCTCTGTTTTTCTTGCTTTTCAGCACCGCCCCAATTCATTGAAGCGCATAGAGGTGCAGCTTCCGCGAAAATTCTGTATGGTTGACTGAGTTGACCACTTTCAAAAAGAGGAAAAAAAAAAAAAGAGTGGTTGGAATTCATACCACACTTCTTGCTTTTACCAAACCTGGGCTGAGGAACTGGTTCTTGTGGCATGTAAGTTTTTCATGCTTCATTAGTCTCTGGGAAGTTTTTTAGTTTTCGTTTCTTTGAGATTCACCCAATAAGTCAGTTTGGCTTTATTCCATGGTTTCTTAAGTTGATCATTGTATGAGTATAGTCTTCTATTGGACTTTCAATTATGAAGCAAAGCACACACTTCTTTTACTTTTCATGTTTATTGAAGGTGACAGTTGAACTTGGAGTTTTAGTAGGAACTTTGAATCTGCTCTTATTAAGCTCCCTTTTCTGGGCCGGAGAAAGTTCCAGAAAGTCAATATGCCAGCTGTTTATTTATTTGGTCTTTCTTGGACACAAGCTCCCTCAGTGGATGTTCTCTGCTCATGCATGATGTCAAACGTTTGTTTCTATAAAGATTCAAAATTTTGTCCTCCACTGTTTCACCTCAACATTATTCACCATTTTTTACTCTCTGCTGAAGAAATTCAATATGTTGAATGCCTACGTAATCTGGTTTTTCTTTTGCGTCTGAGTATGTACTACTTGGCCCTCTTGAGGTAAGTGATTACGTTAAAGGGAATTACATCACATCAGTACTTTCACTGTTCTATTCATCATTGGTGGTACTTATATTCCCTTTTTTTTTTCGCTTATGTTGCAGCTGGGGGATTTTGAAGATGTTGGACACGATGGAAGGCACGAATTTTGACATTGTTATAGATGAATTTGAGGCTATGACTAAAGACGCCAAAAGGGTTCAAGAAGAGACCTTGAAGAAGATCTTGGAAGAGAATGCTGAGGCGGAGTACTTGCAGAATTCGGGGCTTAAGGGAAAAACTGATCTCGAGAGCTTCAAGACTCATTTTCCTCTTGTTACTCACAAGGAATTGGAGTCTTACATCCAGAGGATTGCGGACGGTGATTCGTCCCCGATCCTCACCGGAAAACCTATAACCACGATATCATTAAGGTAATAGAGCTTCGATGATTCTATTACTATGAAACCATAATGAATGGATTCTGTAGCCATAATTGATTCTTGCATGGCGTTGCAGTTCTGGTACCACTCAGGGAAAGCCGAAATATGTACCCTTCAATGATGAGCTTGTGGAGTCAACTATGCAAATATACAGAACCTCTTTTGCCTTTCGAAACAGGTATACAAGAAGAGCTTCTTGCTAGTTTCAGGGCTGTATGACTACTTTTAAATCAGTTTCTGCATATATACATTAACTAACCTTTTTGTTTGTGATCTGCACCATTCTTTAACTCAGAATAATCTACATGAATTTAAAATACTGTATTTGGGGCGCAATTTATCATCTACATAATCCCAGATTTCTAGACAAAGATTTTGTGGAATTCTGGCACACTAGACATCATCTTGATCACTGTCTTAAATTTTTTATGTGCGCTGCCAAATTTTATTTTGAAAGTTCGATTATCCTTCACAGAGTATACCCTATTGGGAGTGGAAAGGCTTTACAGTTCATTTATAGCAGCAAGCAGTTTAAAACCAAAGGTGGCCTGGTGGCTGGTACTGCCACAACTAATGTGTTTCGAAGCGCACAGTTCAAAAGTACTATGAGGGCAATGCAGTCTCTTTGTTGCAGTCCAGATGAGGTGATTTTCGGTCCTGATTTCCACCAATCCTTATATTGCCATCTCTTGTGCGGGCTTATCTTCCGCAACGAAGTCCAGTATGTGTCCTCCACATTTGCTCATAGCATCGTCCATGCATTTCGAACCTTCGAATTAGTTTGGCAAGAACTGTGCAATGATATGAGGTGCGGGGACCTAACTAGTCAAGTCACTGTTCCATCCATCCGAGCGGCTATGTCAAAATTGCTTAAGCCAGACCCTGAGTTGGCTGATCTCATATACAGTAAATGCTCCCGGTTGAGTAATTGGTATGGAGTAATACAGGAGCTTTTTCCAAATGCCAAGTACATTTATGGGATTATGACTGGGTCAATGGAGCCGTATGTAAAGAAACTGAGGCACTATGCTGGGGATCTGCCTTTATTAAGTGCAGATTATGGATCGTCTGAAGGATGGATTGGAGCTAACGTAAATCCTAAGTTGCCGCCGGAGTTGGCTTCTTTTGCCGTTCTTCCTAACATTGGCTACTTTGAATTTATCCCTCTCAGGGAGATGACTGAACTCTCAGGCCAAGACAACGAATCATCCACTTTGCTTTGTGTCGATCCAAAGCCAGTGGGTCTGACTGAAGTCAAGGTTGGTGAGGAGTATGAGATTATTGTCACCAATTTTGCAGGTATGTTTGTTAATTTTATGTCTAGGTTGTGTCTTCATAATGAGCACAAGTTTTCTTCATTGTCATATCTTTCAGTATCACATACACACAACACATGGATGAAATTTCATCTCCCAGACCATGCATAAAGTGTTCCGCCATATTTCTTCTCTGGTTTCTAACTTAAAAAAAAAAAAGCAAATCCTTTTTCTGTTTCCAGAGGGAAACAAATGCTAACCTGTTGAGCATTCTGGTGTACCGTGTATGGAGGAAGATCTGTGTGGCCAACTTAGGGTGGTTAAATCCCGTGTGCTAATAAGAGTGAAACAAACCAATTGTTCTTACGGTTAATAAGACAGAACCAACAAACATGATCTTTAAACTTTAGCTCTTTTGATTAGTGGAATTAGAATTTGAAATTTGAACTTTGAGATCAGCCTTATTTCTTCATCTGAAGCCATTTAGACAAATTGGTGGCATATCTAAGCGGTCCATCATATCTGTTACAAGATAGACGGCCTGTTCTTGTAGAAGATCCACGTGTATTCTGTCGTATTTTGGGTGTGTTCTGAGGTATTTCATGGCACAACCTCAGAGATTCCTTGATCCTTTTACTTCTGTTTTTATCCCAAAATTTATTTCAAAAGAGAAATGGTTCTTCCAATTCATTTGTCACTGTCAGCAGGTTTTTGTGGGTGTTCTTTTAATTGGCTTGGGGGTTGCCTGTATCTCTGTGCTTGGCCGGCTCATCTTGTTTTATCCCTCACAAACAGAGTCCTGCATCTATCTTAGTTTTGTTTTTATTGCAGGCCATTTTCATTCATTGATATAAAAAAAAAAATCCCTTTTGAGGTTGGACTTGGATGTTTTATGAAATGTTTCCCTCGGGCGGAGACTTCCTAAACCTTACATTATCTTTGCTTTATGATTGTTCACCTGGACGATAAGTTCTCTGGGTCACTTGTAAGTGGTGACTTGAGTGGAAGACTCTTTTCCAGTGCAAAAAGAAGAGTATATGCTGGCTTCCATTAAGGAAGGACGAGACTTTTGCAGCACTTAGAAGAAAGTCAGTGCACTAGCTTCCATCCGAGAGAGAGAGAGGCACTACATCTTTTCTTTTTATTTAGGATTTTGTTCGACTGGAAAGCGATAAATTTCAATTTGCTGCATGCTTGGGCAGCAAGGAAACATGAAACGCAGAAATTTATTCCACCACCACTTCCTGGTTAGGTTAGTGGCCACTCTTTTTTCAGAGAAAGTAGAGCAGAATTTCACTGGAAGGTTATTCCCTAGAATTATTCGTGCATCTACCACAGTACAAGATCACTAATTGCTTCTGTAGAAGGAAAGTTCTAAGAATTGATTGAAAAAACAATCAAAACACGACTGCTTCTTTAAGAAATGAGCCAGAAGAATTTCTTGGTTGTTTTCTTGCTTTAATAGATTTATTTCGGTCCCCACCAAGACTGCATTAAAGTTCTGATGGAAGACAAACAAGGGTTAGGTAAATGCCTTGTTTTCTTATTTTATATTATTATAGAGATAAGTTCAGACGAGTATATATAGAATAAAAAAGGTCGTTGTTTCTTTAGATAGAATAAATTTTCCGGACCAGGATAAATCCACATCCTCCAAATTGGATTTCTTATAATTTTATTCTCTTAATTTGTTGCCTACTGGAAATGCCGGTATCTTGTGGCCAGTTTTAGAATCTCATTGTTGACCTTTTTGACTTTATTTTATGTTAATTAACCTTTCTTAAGCTCCTGCATATGGCAACCTTGTCATACTTGTCCTCCTTGCACAATGTGTCAGTCTCCCTTCCTGCTATTGTGATTAAGATTTTCCACATTTTAGTATCTTCAAATAAATAAGGCTCTCTCTTACCATTTTGCCTTTTTCTCTTTGAGATTCAGGGGATTTATAATGTAATGTCATTATTATGTTTGTTCCATGTTTAGTTTGGAAAACTATTTGATGCAACTTTGTTAATTATACCATCTACACTGCTGTAATTCGGTGTCTATTTGTACTTACAAGGCCTACTCTAGGAATAAATTTGCTTTTTGTTAGGAGAGTTACGCATCGATACATGCGATGTCAATCTATATGAGTTCTCTTTCCCATTTATTGTTTTTATCATCTCTGTTCCTTTTATTCCCTTGAATGGTAACTTTCTGACTTTAAATTTTGCAGGGCTGTATCGATACAGGCTAGGAGACGTGGTGAAGGTCGTGGGATTTCACAACTCCACCCCTGAACTCCAATTTATCTGCCGAAGAAATCTCTTGCTTACTGTCAACATTGACAAGAACACTGAGAAAGACTTGCAGTTATCCGTCGAAGCAGCAGCCAAGTTACTGGTAAAAGAAACGCTCGAAGTCATAGATTTCACCAGCCACGTGGATTTCTCGACGGACCCAGGTCACTACGTGATATTCTGGGAGATGAATGGTCAAGCCAGCGATGAGATCTTGAGAGAATGCTGCAACTGTTTGGACCGCTCGTTTATCGATGCAGGGTATGTTGGCGCGCGCAAAGTGGGCGCGATAGGGGCCCTTGAACTCCGAGTTGTCCGGAGAGGTACGTTCCAGAAGATCCTAGACTATTACATAGGATTAGGAGCCGCTGTTAGCCAATTCAAAACCCCGAGATGTATAGGGCCTAGCAACAGCATGGTCTTGCAGATATTGTGTGACGAAGTCGCCAACAGTTACTTCAGTACAGCTTTTTGATTGGGAATTATTGATAAATCAGGTTGTTTTAAAGTTTGTGATTTCAGCCGTTTACTTGTTTCTTAGGCAGAGATATTCGGCTCATGATGCAGAAAACATAGTTTGCTTAATTGGACCTGGTCAAATATACTTGAGATTTGGCTGCTGAACCTGTGAAATAACAGAAGAGGACGAGACAAATGTGGACAACAAACATGCCTGGACTTGCAGATAACGTAAAAGTGCTGGCATTCAACCTTGAGCTTATCCATCTTTTGAAATAAAGTAATCTGATTAAACGTTGGCAAGTTGTGGGAGAAAGGTAAAGCAGAAATTGGGGTAATGAACAATGCAAACGACAGAGACATGAGAGGGATAAAGACGAGGGCTTTATTTTGCATGGATATTTGTGTAATGACCTACGTTGGATTTGGAGCCTTTTGTTTGGATTTGTTCTAGGAGCATTTCTTACCTAATGACTAGGTTAAGAAAAAAGACGATGTCATTTAGTATTTGTTTAACAGGGCGATTGACACCTCCAATCATCTTGCAATGATGATCAAAAGCCAGCCCCCACAGCTTGGCATAAGAAATAATCCTCTGCGATCAGAGAGGCTAGTCTTCGTAATGACTGTGATGACTCTTCCAACGGGCAAACCCTCTTTCTTTATGCTGTGTGGCTGGTGTGTGTTAGTTGATCATTCGAGTCGACGGCGAATCGACTCTGACTTTGGTCTCAAATTTTGGAACAGCCTGTCATGAGTTCGTGGAGCAACAAAAATAGCGGGGTGGTTTGCCTGTTTATTGGATATTGGGTTGTTTATTGATTGATCCTAACGTGCATGGCATGAAAGAGGCAGAGACCTCCTAACCTCCTCCAAAGATTCCTTAAAAGAATGCTTATCCTTCATGGTTCCTCATTCGTCAAATCCCATCAAAGGACCACCCATTTCCTAACGGACAGCTTCCTAACTTAAATCCAACACATCTTTGTCGGTTCAGTAAAAAATAGATCTTCCTAAAAGGAAAATTCGAACATTTAGGCTCCGTTCGTTTGGCGGAAAATATTTTCCTTTTGGAAAATATTTTCCCGGAAGTCATTTTCCTGGAAAATGTTTTCCCGGAACATAATTTTCCGGTGTTCGGCGACCAATATGAAAAAATTTCGGAAAATATTTTCGGCCGGCGCGCGGCGGCGGCGGCGGCGGCGGCCGGCGACGGCGGCGGCGGCCGGCGGCGGCCGGCGGCGGCGGCGACCGGGCGGCGGCGACGGGCGCGCGGGCGACGGCGGCGGCGGCGCAGCGGCGGGCGGAGACCGGGCGGCGGCGGGCGACCGGCGGCGGCGGCGGCGGCGACCGGCGGCGGCGGCGGCCGGCGCGGCGGCGGCGGCGGCGGCGGGCGCCGGCGCGGCGGCGGCGGCGGGCGCGGCGGCGGCGGCGGTGGCCGGCGACCTTAGTGAAAAAGAAGAAGAAGAAGCTCCGGAAAATGATTTCCGCTTTTGAAGAAGCGAAAATCATTTTCCATAGACTTAGGCTATTTTGTGAAGGGGGGAAGGAAAATATTTTTCCACGGAAAACGTTTTCCGCCCCCCGAACACCGGAAAACCCGGAAAATATTTTCCGGAAGAATATTTTCCGCCAAACGAACGGAGCCTTAGAAGAAATTATATTCTCGCGGTAGCTTTTCACATTCGGTATGCTCTGCTCGTCAAGGAGAGCCATCACTATCACACAACAGTACATGTTTAATCAGCTGCTAAGCACCCTAATCAGGAACCATTCTCACAAAAGAAAAAGCCAAGATCAAAGAGAAAGAAAGGAAAGGCGGAGAAGGTCCTCCGAAAGAGGCTGTTCAAGTTCTGTATGAAGAAGTGGGCCGCCGTGTCTGAGAAAGAAAGGGTCCAAGCACAAAAGGCAAAGCCTTGTAATTCTGCATAAATGACTCACTCAACTCCCCCCCTCTCATAAAGACAAAAGCTCACACACCCTCCTTCAGCTCAACCACCAACTTACTTCCGTGAACTCCTCCCAACCCTTTTCTCTCCTCTTTCGGTAGGTTCTGGGCTCCAATGAGACATTGCCAGCCTGGACATCATCCTGAGAAAATGCACCGCTGTCCGAACCTCTAAAGTCAACAAGGTGTGCAGGTGGGCCCCGGCATATCTTAGGCAGATGGCAACACCGGTCAAATTCTCAGGAAATCGCCAGACTTGTAATTTTACGCGCCTCTGTCTGCTCTTGCTCTGTCTCTCGCTTTCCCACTTTGGCTCTTTCACTTCTTTTCAGGAGAGTCCAAAACAGTGCTTTTCTCTCTCCCCCTGTCATTTCCTCACTTTTCCCCTCTTTTCGTTTCTCCATGTATAAAATAAAAGAGCGAATAAAGCTGAAAGCTTATAATAAATAAGGAAAGAAATTGGAAGAAAAAGCAAAAGCGCCAGTTCCTCCCATCAACCCCTGGAATCTCTCCGTCAGGTGATAGAAAAGCAGTCACCCCCTTACTTATCATTGCTAATCATCCATTTTAGGAGTTTAATCGCACCAGACCCGCCTCCTCCTTCGTTTGGAAAGAGCCCGCTCGTAGATCAAAGCACACATTGGTTTAACTCATCGAGTTCGGGACCACGCATTGATTCTTTAGTTCGATAAATGGAGGGAAGTTCTCCACTCGTTACTATAACAATTTATGAAATGAAGATTTCCGAGTGGATTAGCTCGGAAAAGAAAACTATTCGGATTATGGGTGCAAGACACTAAGACAGGTCCAACGTCCTTTTGTGGTATCGATAGAATAATGAGATTTTGACTGATCATTAACATCACGAGATCAAGTGCTGAACAAGCAAACAGCAACAGGGGTGGGCATAGCACATAATTCTTGTCCTCGCACATTTGTCCTCCTGATGTTCGAATCCTAGTCATTCCCCGACTCCGAGGAGCATCATTGGCTCGACGACGCTGTCCCACCCTCCACACGACGTCGTCTCCTATCCTCCCCTTCCCTCTCTCTTTCATTCCTCCCTTGCATTTCCTTTCGGCATTAACTTTCCGCGGCAACGGCAATGGTCTTTGGAAGATGATCCCTTCCAACTCTCCCTCTCTAAAATCAGAGCCACCACCAAGCTTCGATCTTCTCTGCAGAACCCCACGAGTTCGAGGTTCGTGCGTAGATTTCTGAAGAAATATTTCTCCACCCATGTCCTCAGTGTCGTCCCTCCTCTCTCTCTGGGTCGTCGTTGCTTGCTGAAAAATCTGTAGGGTGGACATTTTCTTTAAAAAGTCGAAGACTTTGCTAGTCTCGACCGTTCGCGGACCCGCCTGTCCCTTTCGCTTCACATTAGAAACCACCCAGAGGCCTCAGGAATCCAGTTCAATGACCTTCTCTCCCCCCTGGTTTTCTCCCTTACAATAAAAGAAGGAGCTTTTTGTTTTTCTGCTTAGACTTGTCGCTCTGGTTCTCAGAGAGGTTTTCCTTCGAATGGAGAACGCGGAGAAAGTTCGGCTGGTTCGGTGTCCCAAGTGCGAGAATCTGTTGCCGGAGCTCGCCGATTACTCTGTTTATCAGTGCGGTGGTTGCGGAGCTGTTCTTCGGGGTAAAGTTCCTTTTTTTTTTCTTCTTTTTGTTTCGCGCTTGCCGAGTCAATTTGAGTCTTGCTTGGTTAATGGGAACATTGTGGGCAGTACTATGGAGATGAAGGGTTCACGATTTGCTAAAATAGTCGAGGCATTGCGTTAGATGCGTTGGTCGGAACTTTGATGTTGTGACGCAGCATGATGATTCGTAGTTCGGGGATTATCAATTCTTTCTTTGCAAACTTCGATACGTGTCTCGATTTCAAAATGATGGCTTTGCCTATGCTCGTTCGTCAGGATTTTTGCTCACGGTCTGATAGAGGGCTTCCTGTGATTGATTCGACTGGGAAAGGGCGGAGAACGAGAGAAGAAAAAACATACATTTTTCACTCAAAATAATAAACAAAGCCAATTTGTAGGAGACTAGGGAGGTTTAGAGGACATTAGAAGTACCTGATCGAACTCAAAACCCTGGTACTTGTCATTTCTGCTGCATTCAGAAGACTTGGAACTCGATGTGTGTGGAAACTATAAGGAGGGTAAGTTCACTATGTTTACACACATAAAAGAAATGTTGATCTTCGAGCTGAACTCTTTCTTTTCTCGACATGCAGCAAAACCTAAAGTCCAGGGATCTGATTGCTTATCCGAGAAGTCCGACGATGAAAGGATTGGAGGAATTTGTGAAAAACCCGAGAATCTCTCAGAAAAAGCAACAGCCAACTTGTGCAGCTCTTCTGCTTCGGATGTCAAATCCAATGTGGGATCTTTGAGCTTTGATCATAGGGGTTTGGAGGGAAATGGTATGGTAGGCAGTGAATTTACTAGTTGCAATTCCAAAGACGCGACTCCAAACTGGCTTGTTGAGAGTGGACTTGATCAGAACGACGCTGGTAATGGGCTTTGTGAAGGTAATGGAGAAGACAGACCCCAAAATGGCTCCACAATTGGGCCTCAAAGATCAGGAAAAATGGTCGATTGGCAAACTAGGGAGATGGGTGGCAAGGATGAATTCCCGAAAAGCATGCACAGTGATTTCCATGGTGTAAGGTTATCGACTTCTAGGTATCCTGACGAGGGTCCTTCAAATTACCAGTTAGATTCTCATTTCAGTCATGAAGCACCATTAAGGAAACACAATGATCTTCATGAAGATAACAGAGTTCATTACCTTGAAAGCGATCGAGCTGAACTCCTTAGAAAATTGGATGAACTTAAGGATCAACTTGCTCGGTCCTGTGATGTGGTTGACAAAGCCAAGGATAGTTTTCCTCTAAATAGAGGGACGGTTGCTCCAGATGCTTATGCTGGTCCAAATGCATGCTTTCCCATTGGCTCTTCAGATTTGAATAGAAACCCATTTGGGTCCTTTGATCCTTATAGACATTCTGCGGGGCTCCCTTATACAAGGCAGCAGCAAAACCCCTTCTCTTACACCAACCAGCACGATGTTATGCACAGATTTTACAGCTCAGTGCAGAAACC